GCAAACCATATCTCTTACCATATGTTGACCACCAGCTCGCAGCCGGGGACACAAGCTAGACTCAGAGTCACACCGCAGCGCCAGGTGCAAGAGCATGATTTCGCCCCAGGAACGGACCTGTCTCCTGTGGGCCAGGAGACTGGCACTGTGGTTCGAATGTTCACCTCGGGGATGCTTACCGCCAGGCATGCTATATCAATTCCAGCTCTACGAAGTCTTTTCGGTGATGGGTCCTGGCCTCCGCTCGCGTCCCGGAAAATCAGGGCTGGAGAGCTTGTGGCTACAGGCCCCAGACACCCCCCGTCCAGGCCATTGAGGCATGTCGTCTCCCAGGCCTCAACCATTGCTGGGCCTGGCGCCCCCCACCAGCTAGATGGTAGCATCCCTCTCGACAAAGAAGCTTCTGTCACTTGCCACTGGGTGATGGCTTGTGGAACCAGCTCTTGTCTTCGATCGTACGGCGCGGTTCCTTCGTTCATGCCAAACCCCGCCGCGATGAAACGCCGTCTCTGCTTTCTGCCAGCATCGATCACACTGCGAGCTGCCTCTGAAAGCGTTGACCACTTTGCGATCCCTTTTGAGTTGCCATGCTGCGTTGCTTGGGCCAGGGGGAGCAGGAGGAGGAGGAGGGGGAGGAGTAGAGGGAGGAGGAGGAGGAGGATGGGGAGAATGAGGGAAGGGGAGGAGGAGGAGGAGAAGGAGAAGAAGGAGGAGAAGAGGATGAGGATGAGGAGGGAGGAGAGAGGGCAGAAGGAGGAGGAGGAGGAGGAGGAGGAGGAGGAGGATGAGGAGCAGAGCAGGAGCAGGAGCAGAAGGAGGAGGAGGAGTGGAGAGGAGGAGGAGGAGGAGGAGAGGCGAAGGAGTAGGAGGATAAGGGTGGAGGAAGGAAACAGGGAGGGGAGGAGAGGAGGAGAGAGGATGAGGAGGGGAGTGGGCGAGGGGAGGAGGAGGGAAGAGAGGCAGAAGGAGGAGAGGAGGAGGAGAAGGAGGAGGGGGAAGGAGGGAGGGGGAGGAAGGAGGAGGAGAGAGGGGGAGGAGAAGTTTAGGAGGATGAGGATGATGAGGAGGATGAGGGGAGGGGCAGCGGAGGGAAGGAGGGAGGGTGACCAGGAGGAGGAGGAGGAGGAGGAGGAGGAGGAAGAGGAGGAGGAGGAGGAGGAGGAGGAGGAGGAGGAAGAGGAGGAGGAGGAGAAGGAGGAGGAAGAGGAGGAGAAGTAGGAGGAGGAGGGGGAGGAGCGGCAGCAGTAGGAAAAACAAGGTAGAGGAGGGGTGAGGAATCAGGGGGGAAAAGGGAGATAATGAGGTGGGGGACGGGAAGAGAAGGGATGAGGAGGATGACAACGAGTAGCAGGAAGAGGAGGAGGAGGAAGAAGAAGGAGAAGACGAAGAGGGGGAGGAGACCGAAGCGCATCAATACATGATTGAAGGTGTTGGCAACTCCACCCGCGAACTCTCTGGGGTTGCTGGGCGCATTCCCGGACAGGCTAGACCTCGTCCGTTCGTGGTTGCTATTCAGCCTGTTTGGCAAAGCACCCAATTTAGATCTACCAGGTACTTGAGGAGATTCAAGCCTGCCTCCAAGGTGGGAATTGCTGAAACGCTTCCTCCCTTCAGGGATGTGATCGCTCGAGCCCCCACTTTCCACCACAGCATTGTGATATGATGGGTGGAAGGCAGCAGGTACCCGATAATATAATGCATTCCATGCGGGGGCACCACGATGGGCAGAGGGACCAAGCTGAGTGGGCTGTGCACTGCCCCCCGTAGTCCCACCTCGGAGTTAAGAAAGCTTCGGAAGGAGACTTGCTCCTAGCACCCATCTCAAGTTTGGGGAGGTTCCCCTGTCTCCTTTTGAGGGTGACCTACTAGAGCGTCGGCCCAGCCAAGGCTCTATTTGCCCGGCCGAATTGCCCGAGGCTGACCCACCACGCGGTGCGGTCCCAAAACCGTGCGGTGATCCCGAACCCCGGGCGGGCACCCCGCAGCCTCTTGGCTTGGGGGGGGAGGGCCAAGGCGCTGCGGTGATGGACCCCGCGGGGACCTCGAAGTCCAGGCGCCCTCGGAGAACGGCCCGAGTCCCAAAGCCGCGCGGCCACGCCGAATCTCCACTGGCTCGTCACACCAGCCCTCCTCCGAATGTTCGGTGTCTGGGCCACACCTCGGGTCTCGGGCGGCTGCTCGGGACGATCGGGGCACCCCCTGAACGCTCCCTGCGAAGCGCAGCTGCTGCAGCGCATCCCGAGGCAGGAAAACCTTCAGGAACCCATGAACACGCCTGAAAACCCCGAGTCCCCTTGGACTCACCATACGGTGTGGGCACCGCACCGTTTGGGGGGCCCCAGATATCGGACGGGGCCAGGACGAGGAGAAAGCCGATCCAGAGCGTTCCCGCACGCTCTCAGGGCGTCCCGGAACGCTCTGAGAATGCCGCGGCGCTCGAGACATCCTGCAGAACCGCGGGGTCTCAGAGATTTTCGATATCATCCTCACCCTATGTTATCCGTAAGGGCTTCGCCCCCTGCCGCCGACCCCCTCTCTGTCAGAATCTGATGTCTCGGAGTCGTGTCGGTGCGTCTCGGCGCTGCCTTGGCGCATCTGAGAAAATCATGTGGGGGCGGATAGGAACCATCAGCGCATACTGAAATTCTATGGCCCCACGAGGGGGCCCCCTGGCAAGCTCCGCGCGCCAGGGAGGGGGGTCCACCGCAGATCCAAGAGAAAACCCGCGCGGAGCGCCAGCAGTTTATGTTCATGGCGTGCTCTCTTCTTCTAAGAGGCCGGAGCGGCTGGGGACCTGCAGGGCCCACGAGGCCAGGGCCTCACGAAAGCGGGCAAGGGGGCCGGCGAGCGGCTCGGCCCGCGGCCGCTGCTCCCCTCAGGGGGCGCCATGGGGGCCCTGGCGCTCGCCGAGGCCCCCGTTGTTTCTGCCGGGGCCCTGGAGGGCTGGAGAGGAGGGGGAGGGGGGGGAGGAAGAGGAGGAGGAGGAGGAGGAGGAGGAGGAGGAGGAGGAGGAGGAGGAGGATGCGGCTTAGGCTGCTTTACTTTCGGAGGAGGAGGTGGAGGCTGACGGTATGCTTACGTGCTGAGGACTGCTTGAGGCAATGCTGAGATGCCTGATATACAGGAAGGAGGATGAACTCGTGCACCCATCTGCCGCCCGCCTCGAGCACGGCCGGCAGCAGCTGTCCACCAGGGCAGCGCGTGTGCTCGGTCCTCTCCTCCTCCTGCTCCTCCTCCTCGTCCTCGTCCTCGTCCTCGTCCTCGTCCTCCTCTGGGCGGAGCTCGAGTTGAAAGGCGCGCAGTCATCGGGAAGGGGGGGGGCAGGATGCAAGTCCCAGTCACTAGTCCTGGGAGGTGAAGTTCAGCAGATCCGTGGTCGAGAACCCGCGTTCGGTTTGGAGCTGGTAGTCAGCATCTCGCTCCAGCTGTTTTGCCCCACCACGCTTCGGCGCGACACGCTATCCACTTCGCAGTCCCCATGCGTCCACGGGCCAAGCTTGTCCCAGCCTTCCACTCCGCGAAGCGGAGCGGCACAACATCCGCTTGCAAGACATACGTAGCGTGTCGCCCGGGCCGCCGCCGCCGCGAAACGCTCAGTAACAGGTTCCGACCGCTCGGCGACTCTGGCCAGAGGCTAAGCCCGGCCCAATGGCTCCTCCATCGGGCTTCATAGCCCTGCACCGTTTCCGCGAAGACCTCCCAAGAGTTTCGGGCCGGACGAAAGGGGGGGATAGGGAAAGCGGGGGGTACGACATCTGCTGCATGCAGCTGGTTTCGGCCCCTCCGAGGGGCCCATTCCTCGAGACATGGCCGCCTCCGGCTCCGGGAGGCGCCGGGAAAATCAGTTACGTGAGTTGATTCTCACCCCCCCCTTTGCTATCCCCCCCTTTCGCCCGGCCCGAGAGTTGCCTCCTGAGGGGTGGGCCCACAGCCGCTCCAGCTCGAGCCCGCGGTGCCCGAGCGGACCCTCGCTGCTGGGGCATCGAGGCAGCGCCTGTGGAGATGGCGGGCATGTCGGTCGGGCTTGGCGACCTCTACGGCGTACTGGACGTGGACAAGGAGGCCAACGACGCGACCATCAAGAAGGCCTACAGGAAGCTCGTGCTCCAGTGGCATCCAGACAAGCATGTGGAAGACCGGGAGCTTGCAGAGGAGAAGATCCGCCTCGTCAACGACGCGTACGAGACTTTGAGTAACCCTTTCAAGAGAAGCCAGTACGATCAGACGGTCGAGGCATTGGAGCGCAGGGCGCGCGGTTTCATGCTGAACACAACTGCCATCAAGCCACGCATGTGCATCCCTAAGGAGTTCATGTTGTCGCCCATGGGGCATCCAGACAAATTCGTGCGCATCATCGGCACTGCCATATTCGTGCAGAGCCGTGTGGACGTGAAGTGCGAGTTCTACGATTTCTTCAGGGACGCCAAATTCTCTTTGTGGTGGTTGCCAGAGGTGAACTGTTCACCCCCCTCCTCCCCGTCCTCTACTGATGCTCCTCCTTCTTATTAGTATGTTTGTTCTTCATCCTAGGGTTGTGCACAGACAACGCCAGACACGGATCCAGGCTGACCTCAATACGGTCGATAGGTCACCAGGGTAGCGGGGGGCAGCCCCAGCACACCGCCGCCCGCAGCGCGGATAGCCTCCAGGAGTGCTGCCCACAGGGGTGGCGCTGGGTGTTGCGACAGCCTCAGACTACAATCAAGATGTTGAGATAAGGAAACATGGTAGGGTCGGAACGGGCTCGCTGCTCCTTAACCTAACACCCCCTCGCGCCGCGAAGTAAAAACACGGCAGGGGGCCCTGGGACTATCAAAACACGATTCGGGGTGAAAAAAGCGGCTCCTGGGGGAGGGGCGGGGACCTCTTAAGGAACCTCGTGGTGAGAAACTCACCGCGTCGGATGATGCTTGGGCGGGTCCGTCCATGTAAGCTGCTCTGATCCAGCGCTCCTCGCGCCCTCGGGCGCCGCTGGGGCGCACAAAGGGAGCCGGGCTCCTCCTCCAGCGTTCTGCATGTGCTATAGCAGCGTGCCCCCGGGTCTGCCTGTGAGAAGCCCGAGGCCTTCCTGGGCGTCCGACGCCATGCCTTTGCTTCGCGGCGTGGGTCGCCAGGAAGCCCTCGGCCCCTGGATCCCCGGCGGTCCGCTTTCTCGCTGCGGGGCGATCTTTGATGGCCCGGGGGCCCGAATCGAACCTCCAGCCGCACGAAGCTCGGGAAAGACTGGCGGTCACGATGTATTACTGGACGCTGGAGGGCGGGGATCCCTCCGCCACCCTCCTTGGGCCATCCTCGCTGCAGCGGCTGCCCGAGGTGAACAACATGTGCAGGCTGCGTCCCACGACCACCGCCAGCTCGGGCCAGGACGGCGGCATGAACTTCAACTTCGCCCTGCACAGGCCAGAGGGCTTCGAATTGTGTGGGCTGGAGTTCCCAACTCGGGGGGAGGGGGCTCGGCCCCTGGAAGGTTACACCCTTCGGTTGGGTCGTGGGGTACGGATTCCTCATACGCAGGCCTCCCAAATGGGGCCGGCGCAGATGGGGTCAGAGGGTCGTGCCGCATCGCCCACGCATCGGCGATGCGGCGCGATCCAGCGTCCGATGTTCTCTGTCCGGACGTCGCTGGCGCATCAGCAATGCATCGGAGATGCGGCGCGGTTCTCCGACCCGATCTACACTGGTGACACTTGGGTCCCTCACCATCACCGTCATCCATCATCCTCCTCCTCCTCCTCCTCCTCCTCCTCCTGCTCCTCCTGCTCCTCCTCCTCCTCCTCCTGCTCCTCCTCTTCCTCCTCCTCCTCCTCCTCCCCCTCCCTTCTATTTATCGCCCTCGTCCTCCTTCGGCAGGCCTTGTGGCGAGGGCTGCGCGCCCATGCAGTCAAACGGGATCGCAAGGATGAGCTACTTGCCAAGAGGTACCCTTGCATTCTTGTCTCTGCAGCCCATCCTTGGCCTCTTTCGCCGGCCAGCCCTCCAGGAAGGCTTCGACCCAGGCGTACAAGGGCGTTGCATCCTTACCGCGCATACCTATCGTCCGGTCGCGTTGAAGGGGGCGCCAGTTGAGCCAGCCCCCCCGATGGTGGAGGGCGCTCAGCCGTATCTCGTGTCTGATGGGGGCGCTTCCCACTCAGATGCCGACAGGCAGCAACGCGGTGTCTGCTCTTCTCAGCGTGGCCAGGTAGTAATTCACCATCTTGGAGTAGAGGTGCCCAAGAGCTAGACTATGATAGAATAACCGCCGTCGTATCATCGTCATCACCGTCACCGCCATCGCCATCAGCAACATAGCCAACACCACCATAGTCAGCATCCCCAGGCATCAACCGCACAATAATGATAATCAGCTCCATCAATACCAGCCATACCACCACTAGCATAGCCATCCGCAGCAAGGCCATGGTAATCAGCATCCGCACCAAGAGTAAAAACATAGTCATCTGCATCAACATCACCACCATCGAAAACATCATAACCGTCATCGTGCAACGTTAACAGCGTAAATTGTCCGAAGGTGAGCGTAGTGTCGATGTGAGGCCAGTTGCGCCGCAGTCGGCTGCGCTCGGCTGGCTCGCTGTGGGTCGGCTGCCGCGCCGCTGCGCCTTCCTGGACGACTTTCGGCCTGTTGGTCTCGGTCGGAGTTCGGCCTCGATGTCGGTACGGCCGGCTTTCGGTCTTGCGGTCGCCGTGGACGTCGATGCTTCGCGCTGGGGCGGGTGGCGACCGGCTGTTCCAGCTGCGGGCGTTCTGGCCAGGGGGGCGTCGTTGCAGACGCACCGCACAGCACACCCGATGGCTAACCAGCATCTCAGCATCAACGAGCACCAGCATCATCAGCAGCAGCCTCACCATCGTCACCATCAACTTAAGCATCAGTATCAACAACATCATCATCATCATCGGCATCATGATCGTCGTCATCATCATTATCATCACCATCACCATCACCACCACCACCACCATCAGCATCAGCATCATTAGCAGCAGCATCATCATGTCGGTTTCCTCCTTTCATCCATGCCTCCTCGCTCCCCCTCCTCATTCCTCATCCTCCTTCTTGTAGTTCAATTCCTCCGCCTCCTCTTCCTCATCCTCTTCCTCATCCTCCTCGTATCCCTCAGGGGTGGTCGGTCCTGCTCTGCTGCACCGGCCGCTTCCTGCCAGGCTGAGAATATTTGGTTTCCAGATGCTTGATGTGCTTGCTGCTTCTATCCCAAAATTTCATCAGTTGTCTTTCCCCCTCTTCCTTCATACACCTCGTCCCTCTCCTCCCTACTACCCCTCCTTCTCCTCCCCCCCCTGATCCTCGTCTTACGCAATGTTATCCTCCACCTCCTCCTCCTCCTCCTCCTCCTCCTCCTCCTCCTCCTCCTCCTCCTCCTCCTATTTCATCCTTCTCGTCCTCCGCCTCCTCCTCACCTCTCGTTCTCCCTTCTTATGTTCCTCCTCCTGGTCCGCTTCGCTCTCTCCTCCTCCTCTTCCTTCTCCTCCTCCTCCTCCTCCTCCTCTCCTCCTCTTCCTCCCCCTCCTCCTCCCTCCTCCTCCTCCTCCTCCTCCTCTTCCCTCCTTCTCCTCCTACTCCTCCTCCTCCTCCTCTTCCTCCTCCTCCTTATCCTCCTCCTCCACATTCTCCTCGCCTTTCGTTATCATCGTCCTCCGCCCTACGACCTCAGTCCCGCTCAGTGGAACCATCATCGCACTCTTCACAAAAATCCCTTGGGCAGGACAGTCAACGTCTCGGAGGTGGTGCTGAGCCATAACACCATGCCGGACAGCACCAACGTCATCGCGGTGGTTGTTGTTTCCGTCTCGTATTCGCATTATTTCCTACACTCATCCCTCTTCCGCACAATCCCGATCCTCCTCCTCCTCTTGGTCCTCCTCATCCTCATCCTCATCCTCCTCCTTGATCCTGCTTCTCTTCTCCACCCCCTCCTCCCTAGAACCATTCCTTCTTCTCCTTCTCTCATGTGTGTCTCATCCATCCTCCCGCTCCACAGGCCACCAGAGCCGCGCTACGACCACAGATTGGACCATCCGCCCTTGCCCGTCCCCACCATCGCCCTCGTCATAGTTGGGTAGGTGGTGCTTGAGTTTTTGTCTGTGTGTAAGTAGGCGAAGGAGAAGGAGTACCACCAGCGGTGGTGGCCGCGATGCACTCGTGTCTACGCGCCGCCGAACACAGACGGCAACGCCGACAGACGATAGACGACAGCGGCGACGCGAACGGCAGCGACGACGGGCCAGCGACGGCGACGACGGGCGAAAAACGAGGCGGAGAGGAGGAGGTGAAGGCCCACCCTGTCTACACTGCCACCGTCTGCTACCCGCTCATGCATTCAGAGCTGTTGACACCACGGATACCATGTTGCGCAGGGATGGACGCAGGAGGGCCCCCACACCCCATGGCCCGCAGGCAGCCCTCCCCGCGCAGGAGCGCCGCCCAGCCCGACGCCGCTCCACGAGATATGCCCGCCGCCCCACTGTGCGGTCTGCGACCGCATCGCCGTTCTTCAGCGGCAGGCCCGACGGCCACGCGAGGCATGCCCCGACCCCTCCTCCGCGACGCCCCTGGCCACGACCGTCTGGACGCTCAGCTCGGCCAGGCCCTGTGCGTGCCCGTCCAGATGCACACGCACGCGCCAGGTACCACTCCCGCCGCCGCGTGGGCAGAGTGGCCCGGAGGTGGGTGGCGCCTCCGACAGTGCCTGAGAAAAGGGTAGGGCCTGGCCAATGCGTCCAGGCGACGTGCAGCTGTATTAGAACAGCCTCGGTTGCACCAGAGGCACACGCACGCACCTCCTCCTCCTCCTCCTCCTCCTCCTCCTCCTCCCCCTCCTCCTCCCCCTTTTCCTCCTCATCATCCTCCTCCTCTTCCTCCTCCTCTCATTCTCCACCTCCACCCCCTCCTCCCCTCCTCCTCCTCCTTCTCCTCCTCCTCCTCCTGCTGTTCCTGCTGCTCCCCTCCCCTCCTCCTCTCCTCCTCCTCCTCCTCCTCCCTCCTCCTCCCTCCTCCTCTCCTCCTCCTCCTCTCCTCCTCCTCCTCCTTCCTCCCCCCCCCTCCCCCCTCTCCTCCTCCTCCTCCTCCTCCTCCTCTTCCTCCTCCTCCTCCTCCTCCTCCTCCTCCTCCGCCTCCTCCTCCTCTCCCCACTCTCCTCCTCTCTCCCTCCTCCTCCTCCGCCTCATTCCTCCTCCTGTTCCGCTCATGTTCCTCCTCATTCATCCTCTTCTCCCTTTCCATCCCCCCCTCTTCCTCCTCCTCCTCGTCCTCCTCCGCCTCTCCTCCTTCCGTCCGTCCTCCTACTCACCCCTCCTCCTCCTCCTTTTCCTCCTCCTCCTCGTCCTCTCCTCCTCCTCCTCCTCGCCTCCTCCTCCTCTTCCTCCTCCCTCCTCCTCCTCCTCCTCATCCTCTCCTCCCCTCCTCCTCCTCCTCCTCATCCTCCTCCTCTCCTCCCTCCCCTCCTCCCTCCCCTCCCCGCCCCGTCCCTTCTCCTCCTCCCCTCCTCTCCTTCTACTCCTCCTCCCATCATCTCCTCCTCTCCTCCTCCTCCTCCTCCTCCTCCTCTCCTACTCCTCCTCCTCCTCCGCGCTCCGCGATATGTTGGATCCTGGCGGCGCCTCTGGCGGCGCCTCTGGCGCCGCCCCTGGCGCGTTCCGCGCGCTAGGGAGAGGGATCCAGCGCGGATCCAAGCTACCCGCGCGGAGCGCCAAGAGTTTGTGTTTATGGCGTTTTCTTGTTCTTCTAATCAGCCTGCCGGAGCGAGTTCTCTCATGGAATAGGCTTGCGGCCAGGCCAATGGCAGCGCGCGCCGCTAGCAGCGCCCCCTCGCTCCGCCTCAGCGGCAGCTCGGGGTTCAAAAAGGGGGGCCATCGCTGCCCTTCCTCCGACTGAAGGGGAGGAGGAGGACCCAGCACCGATTCCAGAGCGTGTCGTTTCGGAGGCGGTGCAACAAGTACGTGCTGCCCTTCTGCGAGGCGGGTAGCGGCATGTGGTGAAGAATTCGGTGGTGCCTCAGGCTACGTGCCAGGAGGTGGAGGAGGAGGGGGAGAAGAACAGCAGCAGCAGCAGCCGCAAGCGGGGGGAGCAGGATAAGGGATGATGTGACGCCTATCGTTTCAATGATCCCCCCTCCCACTCCTCCCCCACGCTGGTTAAAAATCAGAGGAGCGGTTGCGATGGGGCGATGCGCGGGTGGGGTGGGAAAGGGGATTGTTCAAGCGTCCGGACAGCACGAGGCGTGAGTCCCCTTGCGCAAGCGAACACCAGTCTGCCTTCGCGCTGGCTCGCTCTCCCCCGTGCGGAGCACCTCGCCGCGGCATGAGTTTTCGCGTGTGGTGCGGGCGCCTGCGCGCCCAGATCGCGGCGTCAAGAGAGGACGAGGCGAAGGAGAAGGGGGAGGAGGAGGCAGGAGGGAGGGAGGGAAGGAATGATGGTGCAGCTGAGAGTTGGCGGGGGAGGAGGGAGGGTGGAAAGGGGAAGGTGGAGGGCACGGCAGGCTCGTGTCGTGCTGACGCGGCGGCGACCCCGCCGCGGGCCTTCGAGGCGGATCGCCGGCGGCGGCCCAGAATCGGCAAATGTGGAACGATCTGGTGATCGGAAAGCCTGCCATTGGTCGAGGTGGAAGAAACCTCAGGTCGGGCATGTCCTTCTACAGGCTGATTCTCAACGGGAAAGTAACAACTGTCAAAAAAAACAAAAATGGTCAACAACAGTCGAAAAATCGTCCCCTTGATATTTTTGGTGATTTTTGAATACTCCTCCTGTAGAGGGACATGCCCGGCTTAAAACAGACCACGCGGCGCCAGAAAGCCACGCGTGCAGGCCGCCACGACGCGAGCTTGCCGCAGCAGGGAGCGCAGCAGGGGTGGAGCAGGGCGGGCGCGGCGGTCGCCCCCGAGGTGGCGAGCCCCGTCTTCCAGGGGGCGTATCCAGGGGAACGAACAATGACATGAACATAAAAACTCGGAGGTCCGCGCGGATTTCTCGGATCCGCGCTGGACCCCCTTGTCAGCGCCTCCGGCGCCGCCCCTGGCGCGCTCCGCGCGCCGGGGAGGGAGGTCCAGCGCGGATCCGAGAAATCCGCGCGGATCTCCGAGTTTCTATGTTTATGTCATTGTTCGTTCACCCAGTATCGCTTCGAGGGAGCCCACTTCCCCGGCCACTACCTCGCGTACAAGCCGCCCAACCACCTCCGCATGGTGGGCGGCGTCGTGGACGAGACCACGTCGATAGACTTCATGCTCGTGGACTACGCCGGAGAGCTCAGTGCTGGCTGACTTGCGTGGTCGGTGACCACGGGTCACGTTGATCGGGTGACCGCGCGATCGCTGTTCACGGTGATCGACGTGTGATCATGGCGGCGAGCTCGGCGATCGACAGCGTGGTCGGAGGTGAGAAGACGGCTGACGATCGATATTTGTCTACGCGTTTCCATATGTTCTGTTACTACACTGGGGGCTGGCGCATTCAATTGTTGAGAAGTGCATGTGTTGAAATTGGATTTGAATGTTGAGTTGACCGATTCCTAGATTGAGCCCCTCAGCAGTGAGTTTCACAGTTGGGTCTGAACCCCAGAAATGACTCACTACAAAAAATCAATCCTGGACTTAGGGAGTTGAGGTTTCAATATCGGGCTTCAGGCTAAACATTGAGGTCAGGTTCCATATTGACGTTTCCCTTTTAATGTTGGATTCTCCGTTTCAGTATCGCAGTCTGGATGCCAGCGCTGAAGGCCGCTCGATATCGTCGGATATTGCCGGGGACGGCGGACGAGGTATGGGAAAAACCGAAGGATGGAGGAGGGGGGTGGCTGCGGGATCCAGGTCACCCTCAGGGGAGCGAAGATAGCCGCGCGTTGTGCGTCGCGGTCTGGGCAAGAGCGGTTGCCCTCCTCCGAAGGGGCAGCCCGAGGGCGCGAAAAGAACAGCGCATCTCGAGGCGCGGCGCGCGAAGTTGGGAGACCTGGGGGATCGTGAGGGGAAACGACAGGGGGGGGGCAGGCGCAGGGGGGTGAACATTGAGCTGGAGTCGTCGAGACACCGCCGATCGATTGGCGTCAGGCCCCCACGAGCGACACCGCACGCTCTCCTGGCTCCTGGGCGGGGCGGACAGGCAGTCCTCTCATCGGCGAGGAATGGGCGACTGGAAATCGCAATCCACCCTGAGCCTACCCCCCATAAAGTTGCCCCCGAGATGAGGAGCACCAGGGGGGAAAAACAAAAAAAGAAGAAAAAAAAAAAAAAAAAAAAACGGAGTTGCAGCACACGCAGTCTACAAAGCAAGCAGTCGCAGCCCTTTGACAAGTGTGCTTCACGTGCGGCTTGCATGTCGTGCTCCAGCAGCGAAGACACCTGCATCGCTAGGATCCATGGGCCGTGCGAGCGGGCGGGCTGGATGGACCCCGACGAGAGCGCCAAGCGGGTTGGACATTCAAGCAAGATTCGGGCACGCGAGCGGGCGGGCACTGACGAGCGGGTCGGGCGGGCGGGACGTTAGACCACGTGCTCAAGCCAATGAGCCAACTGGCGAGCCGTGCGGGCGGGGCACACCTACGCCCAAAGCACTGGTGGGATTCCTCAATCCAGAGTCTCGGAAGGTCAAGGTTAAAGGAAGGAATCGACCTTTTTCTATCCAGGAGCCCGAACAACATGCAGCGCTTGGCGTGGGTTGTGCTAGCCCGTGTGGAGGGCCTCCATACGGAGCCCTCGACGCCACGGCTGGACGCAGCTCCGAAACCAGGTCGAAGTGAGCTTCGGGAGGAGTCTGGGAGGGGCCTGGGAGGGGCCTGGGGAGAGATTGGGAACGGATCTCTTTTGGATGGCCAATGAGGGCACGAAGACCATCGCGAGGCGTGGCCTGCTGCTGGGGACGTGAGTCTCCCCCCAGACAAGGGGGCCGCGAGAGTGCGCGCGGAGGTTCGCGCAGCGCGACCGCGCGAAGACAGGTGAGCGACGCAAGGAAAGGGGGTCGTCTGCGCCGACATTGGCGCGTAAGCTCCGCGCGTAAGCTCGCGCGTAAGCGCCCTCGCTTCCAGCATGGCGTGCCGCGCTGGCGGCCCGCGGAAGCGGCCGCGCAAGGTCGATGTGCCGTCTCGCGCAAGACCCGTTTTTGATCGTCGCTCGGGTGGTTTGGATGATCGGGCGCCGTGGCCGGGCCAGAGGCCGGGTGGCGCCACTGGCCCAGGTGAGCGGGCGGCATCTGTTTTTGTTCGGCAGCTTGCCGGCTCTCTGGCGGCAAAAGCGGTCCAGCGCGAGCGACGGGGCGCGACGGGTGCGAAGTGGAGGCGCGCGGGCAGGGGGGCAGGCAGGCAGGAGGGCAGGCAGGGAGAGGGCACCGCGGGACGGCCCGAGCGCTCCCTTCAGGACGTGAAGAACATCGGGAGGTGCCGACCTCAGGCTCTCAAGTGCTCCCCACTGTTCGGGAGGATCGAAGTAGGTACGGACAGGATGGGTACGATGCCCAACAGCAGATCTTTTTCGTTTTGAACAGGCCTCGCTGTCCGCGCCGCCGCGGACGTTGTCAAAAAGCCGCCTGCCCAACAGCGGCCGCAGCCGACATTGGACAGCATTTGTTGTTGGAGATTGTTCCCATGTTTTCCGTACCCATTTCGGACGTCCAAACTTGTCAGAGTATGGGCGCTGAATCGGGCCGCATGGGCGCTGGCCGAAATATGTAAGCCGATGTCCGCCACATCGGGGAGGCCGGGGTCTGCGCTTCGGGGGAGCGCGCCGCTCTTGCGTCACGCCTCGAGCCCCAGAGAGGGGCCCCCGGAGCCATCGCCGTGCCGCGCTCTCGTTCGCCGCCGAGCGCCGCCAGGGCCGTCCATAATTATGTTCCCTCGGCTCGCGCGGTTGTCCCGGATAGTGAGGCCAAGATTTTAGTTACCTCGATGCGTCCGCTTTGGGACGCAACACGCGCCATGCTCGAAACGTCCGTGTCAATTCGTTGCGTGCTGGTTCAACATGTTGGCCCACATTTTGGCGAACGCTTCGCGTCAGACCTACGGGTTCAGTCTACGCGTTGAGCTCCGTATGAACACATTATGTGTTGCGCGTTGCGTATCGGGGCAGCAAAGGCCAAGATGTTCCAGTACATCACGGCGGAAGAGGTGCTCATGCCAGCGGTCACGAAGATGGGCGGCGAAAAGGATTTCGTACCGCTGCGCACGTTGCGGGGCGACAAGGACGTGCAAGTGTACTTCAACAGCGTGCTCAAGAGGCCTGTCTGGTCCGACGAGGACTTCGAGATGTTTTTCGAGAGTCGCCCTGGCGTGTGGGAGATCGACCGCGACGAGGAGTAGTGATTAATATGATCCCCCTTTCCTTGCTCGTTCCTTCTTCCCTTTTGAGGAATTCCATTTCGTCCTACCACCAGAGGCGCCAGCAGTTGCAATGTCCAACAGCCATACGGATGGAGGGCGAGTCGTTTCCAATATGTGGATATCGCTTCAGTGTTCCACACATGTGAGCTTACAGCTTACAACGGCATACACGAATTGAAGGCGAAGTGTTTTCAAATGCAGTTATGCCCCAATACCGCACACATGCGAATTAGAATATTACAACAGTTTCACCGCGGATCCTTTTTAACGATGTGAGTATATTTGTGATTGTTTAATTTCCCTCACTCTCTCCCACTATTTCTCGTCATCGCCGCACACATCCGTCTAAGCTTCCAAAGTTACACGTGTCGGGGACGAGTCGTTTTCAAGACGTGCCCGTAGCCTGATCATTGCGCACGTGCGTTTTCAACTTCCGAGCATCTAAACGGACGGAAGGCAATTTACGTTCAATGCATGTTTATCGCACGAGGCGTCCCTAAATGTTATGGCCAGGAAATGGATGTGGCCCAACAGTTCGTCGGATTGAAGGCGGCTCCGTTTCAACATGAGAGTCTCGTTTGAGCATTCGGTTTTTATATCAGAAGTGATACTCTGTGTAACATATACACGGATGCAGGGCGAATCATTCTATTCCGAAAATGTGTTCTCGAGATGTCTTTGCACTTTCTGGTAATCCCTCTTCGCGCAATTCAGATAGGGGCTCACGCATGAATGGCAGGCCCGTGTGACTTTCGCCCCTTAAGGAGAACCTCGCGTGGACGTATGAGGAAGAGACTTCGGAAGGGAGGTGTGTTGCAGCATCGTTTACGCATCCTGGATGTATGATGGTCCCCCTCCTAAACTTACGTCGGGCATGTCCATCTACAGGAAACTATTCAGAAATAGAAAGGAACTTACACCTGAGAAAACCCCAATCAGTGGATGATTTGAAAATTGATACTATGGATCTTGAGATCGATTGTGAGATCGATAATGAGATCGATAGTGGAATTGATAGCGAGGACGATTGTAAGGTCGATCGTGCGGCCGAGAGTGAAATCGATTCAATGAGATCGATAGTGAGATTGATCGCGAGGTCGCTCATGCGATCTCTAGTGAGATCGCTTGTGAGATTGATAGTGAGATCGATTGTGAGATCGATGGTGAGATCGATCGAGAAGTCGGTAATGAGATTGATGGTGAGACCAATCAATAAGAAGATCGACCAGGAACCCGGGAACCGGGGAACCTCGCCGCCCTCCGAAAATGGCCCGGAACCCGGAACCCGGAACCGGGAACCCGGGAACCCGGAACCAGGAACCCGGGAACCCGGGAACCCAGCTTGCCACCGAAATCGGCGGGGAATTTTCGCCAAATCCTTCAACATCCGCTAGGACCCCTTCAATGCAAGCACTGATTGGGGAAACTTAGTGGGACGATTGTTTACTATGTTCGACTATGTTCGGTTATTGTTCGAGTTCGACGATTTGTTCTTCAAAATCCGCCTGTACGAGGACATGCCCGACCTAACCTTACACTCACAGACGCCTCCTCCCCTGACCCCCGAGCCTCCTGCAGGAACCGGGGCGGCCGCTTGTTTTTACTTTGGGCCCCGGGTGGCTCCGTCTCGGGCCTCAGGGGCCCACAGATGGCGGCCTGCGTCGCAGAATCAATGCGAAACGTCGGGGACGCGGGGTCCTGAGCCCCTGTGTGGAAAAAGCCTTGAATGTAACAGCGAGAAGAAAGAATGAGCTCTGGACACAGCAGCCCACTGGGAGGCTCCCTCTCCTCCTCGACTCCAGGACTCTAGGGAGCCAAAGGCACCCCTGACCCCCGCAACTGGCGTTGACGAAAGAGAGCCTCGGGCGCTTACGGACCAGTCGTGCCCTGTTTGAGTCCTTCCCTGGGCTTCTTTTCCTGAAGGGCTTCGCTTGCAGGGGGTGCTTCTGACGAGAGTGGTGACTCTGCCGCCTGCACCGCCGAGCGAGGAGTGGCAGGTGCGCCTGCGGAGCAAGAAGGAGCAGCTGGCCAACTCGCTGCGAAGGTCGACCAACTTCGCCGAGGTGGCGACCTCCATCAGCTCCGCGGGCCACCTGGACGTCCTAGGGCGACCAAGTGCGGTGCACGTGCACCGATGTCCTGGCCAGGCCCACCCCGGCCCCGGGATGCGGTCCAATGTGCCTCCCCGGCCAAGCCAGGCGGGCGTCTCCTCCTCCTCCTGCTCCTGCCTCCTCCTCCTCCTCCTCCTCCTCCTGCCTCCTCCTCCCTCCTCCTCCGCCTCCTCCCGACCCCAAAAAAGCTCGGGGAGGAGCTCGGCCAGGCGCGGGTACACGTGCACAGCGCTTCTCTCCTCCCTCGAGGTCTGCGAGATGAAGCTGGATACCCTCGAGGCTTATGATGCTCCAACCTACTTTCGCCTTGACCACCAAAAGGAATTTCGAGCACCAAGAGAAAGTACCGAAACTGGAGAGCTTTCGGCCCTGGGAGGCGATACTCGTTCGACACCGTTTCGACGTGTCCTGGGTGCTCGAAATTATGTATGGGATGTGGTCCTCAAGTATGATGGGAGCAACATAAGTCGAGGCCTGCATGCGCGTCCTGACGCAGCCGCTGCCCGCCGGGGCCAGCGTGTCCCTGGCCATAGCCGCCCTCGACGCGCAGAAGAAGGTTCGGCGGCGAGCCCGGGGGGGAAGAGGACAGATAAGCGACAAGAGTCTACGAGCACGCCCGAAAGGCTCGAACCTCGAACCCAAAACTTTCCCCCAATCCCTCCCCTCGTCCCGCCACCCTGATCCAATGGACCCTCACGTTGCCCCTGATCCCGATAACTCGGCGGCGCGCCCGGGGGGGAAGCGAGAGGGGGCAGGCCTTGAAGCCCTCCGGCCTTCGGAGAAGCCGTCCTTGTATGTGGGCTCACAAAACTTGTCCGAAGACCTCCTGAGAAGGCCCACCCCCTCTGACTTCCCCCCTGGGCTCGCCGCCAGCAGGTGGGCGATGGCAGAAGCCTCGGCCGAACTCCACCGCCCTAGGCAAGGGGAAACAGAAAGGTGCCGATACCGCTACTCCCTGGACCTCTCCCAGGGTGGGTCTGACCAGAAATTCGGACTGAACCCAGCGGTAGCGGTAGCGGTACCTCCCCAGACGTGCGGCGTCCGGATCTTTTCAATACGGGGCCCTTGGAAGTCCAGACCCCATCCCCGGGACCGGCTTTTCATCCTGCGTCGTCTTTGACGGTCCCGAGGCTGGGCGAGGGCCCCCAGGGGCCGAAAGCGGCCAAGAACCTCCCCTCCTGGTTGTTCGTAACGACGCCCGTCTGGGCCTTCCCCCCCCTGACATCCAGGCCGAGGTGGGCGCGAAGACCGCCGCGCCTGGCGCCTCGCGCCTCGCATGCCTTCGTGCCTCGCGGCCTGGGCCGTGGCGGGGGTGCACTCCTGCCCTCCAAGCTGGTTACGGGAGGAATGCTCAACAATAGTCGGACAAATCGTCTGTGGACGATTGCTTTAACTGTTATCTATCCACTGCCTTGATGATTCTTCAGGTGTGTTTGACTCTTCGGCGAAACTCCCTCGCGCCGCGCGCCTCGCAGTCCCTCGCGCCCCGCGGCCTGGGCCGCGGCGAGGGTGCACTCCTGCTGGCCCCGGCGGCGCGGCGGCGCAGAGAGGTCTGGCCGGGCGTCGCGCACCGCAGCGGCGGCCCTCGGCGGCGCCCGACGCGGGGGCATGCCGGCAGAGTCGTCCATAGACGTATACAGGGTGACCTCTCGCCGGAGGGACCTTTGGTGCGGGCCACATGGGTTCCCCGGGTCGCCAGACGCGATGCGATAGTAGCGTCTTGCGCGCTCGTGTCTGGTCCCCCCGCGGTCCCCCAAAAGCCGCGCACCAGAGGTCATTCTTACCCAGGGTCACTGTTGCGTGCAGTCGAAAGAGAGCCTTCGGACAGGGTCCCCGACATGGTCGCGTCGTAACAAAAAATTGGACGGGGGGAGTATTGGCCGTTTGCGGCCCCTGGGAGCCCTCGCCGGGCCCAGGGACGGTCAAAAAACGATTCAGGATGAAAAGCCGGTCCTGGGGAAGGGTTCGGGACTTCCAGGGGCCACGTATTGAAGAGATCCGCGCGTCGCATGTCTGGGGCTATAGGACGAGGACAGGTCCGTTCCAGGGCGTTCTTCAGAGCGTGAATTACCTCCCCCGCTTTCGCTTCCAGGCAAAACCAAGCCATACCACGCGCCTCCTCGTCAAGCAGCCTGACCAGTACAGGCCGCAATTTGGCATCGTTTGGTATCTCTTGGAAGCGAGGGTGGTCAAAAGCGAGGTAGGTTTGTTTTCCCCCGAGTTCTGGGGCGCTCTGAGAAGGCCGCGGCGCCCGATGCACAGCCCCCAGACCCGCCGGGCCTCGGAGGTGTCTCTAGACCTCGGCGGAAGGCGGCGGAAGGAGAGCGGGGCGGCTCCGCCAGCGGAAGGGCGCGTAGGGGCGGGGCTGGGGCACGAAGATACCCACCTGCCTTTGCTCGCCCTTCGTCGGGCTTCTGGTTTAGCATAGTGCCTATTCCAGCGCCGTCCACACGGTAGTTTAGAGCCCCTCACTAGACCTCCTGCGCCGACGGATCATTGGGGGTAGTGCGCGTGTGTGTGTGGAAGTCAGGATCGGCCTCCCAAGAAATGGCAAGGTTTTGTGGTGCAGGGTTTTCTGAGCCCGCCAAGTGGGGCAGCTCTGGATCATCCCCGGGATGCCCTGGCGCCAGCGCTGTTCGGCGGCGAGCCCAGGGGGGAATGGGTTCACTCTTGGAGGGGTCGTCGAGGCAAAAACTCCTGGAGCGGTCGCCGAAGGGCATCCTGGCGAGCGGCGCCGAATTCCAGGCGCCGCCGCCGCTATGTGTCCAAGGCCGCGGGCTTCGGAGTCGTGCCCCAGAGCCTCGGCCAGCCACGAGGATCGAAGACAGCGGACCGTGAAGCCCTTGCCCTCTGCGAGCCTCTGGGGGGTCCCTCGCGGCCGCGGAATGGGGCAGCCGTGCGAATCGACGGCGCGCCCAGGGGGGGGAAGAGCGAAGGGGCGGGCTCTCGCAGAGGGCTCGGAAGGCCTCGGGCCTTTTTGAGACGTTGCCGAAAGGCCTCCTCCGAAGCGAGGGACGGCGTCTTAGAAGGCCGGAGGGCTTCCGAGAGGCCCCGCCGCCTTCTGAGAAGGATTGCGCCCGCTCGCTTCTCCCCCCGGGCGCGCCGCCGAGTTGCGGGGGTCAGGGACATCGCTGGGGGGCGATTGCCTCAGGGGGGCGGGGCGAGGGGAGGGATTGGGGAGTTTCGGGTTCGAGGTTCGAGTTTTTCGAGCGTGATCGTAGAGTCTTGTCTGTCATCTGTGCTCGGGATGCCTTCCTGCGGCGGCGCCTTGCCTGGAGCGTTCCGGGGATGCCCAGACCGTCCCGGACGACCGCCACCGAGCAGAGCTACGAACCGAAAGCCAGGGGGCAGCGTCAGGGGGGATATGCTCGGGGGGGCCCATCAATCCCAAATCGTCCATAGATCGCCGACAGGGGCCCGATAGCCCACCCCGCCCCAGAACGTGCGGATTCGCTATAGGGGGCTATCGCCGTTCTATCGGCGATGCATCGCCGATTCCAGGTCGACGCTTCCTCACCTGAGCCACTCGGGGAGAGCCAGTTGAGACACAGGCGGCCCTACTGCCCGGCCCAGATCCACCCGTGCTCTGTCCGCGCGCCCCTGCCGTGGTCCAAACGCACAAGTTGTGTCCGAGTTGGTTTTTAACCGTGGCGACCAAGCGTGGCGACAAGGGGCACCCCGAAAGCCAAAAAGCGGCCCTTGTCTCAGCCGGCCCTCTTCCGAGACAGCCTCGGACGCCGTCGCCAGCGCCAAGGGTTTCCCATTCCTGCGCGCAGGTGTTGACGGGGCTGCCCAAGGCCTGCGACGACGACCGCGTGGCGTTCAAGCGGCTGATGTCCATATGCGACCAGGCCGTCGCCTCTCGTCCTCGTCTTTGTCTTCTTCATCCTCCTCATCCTCGCCACCATCGTCCTCGTCCTCCTCCTCCTGCTCCTCCTCCTCCTCCTCCTCCTCCTCCTGATCCACCTCCTCTTCCTCCTCCTGCTCCTCCTCCTCCTCCTCTTCCTCCTCCTCCTCCTCATCCATTTATTTAATCGCTTCGCTCATTCCGCCGGCCCATATTGTTGCACCGTTGTGGGCTAGCCGAGTTTTGGGGCCTCTTGGGGGCCGTTTTGGGGCCTCTTGGGGCCTCTTTTGGGCCTCTTGGGCGCCTCTTGGGGCGTCTTGGGGGCCTCTTGGGGGCCTCTTGGGGCCTTTTTGGGGCCTCCTGGGCGCCTTCTGGGGCGGAGGGCTCGATTTTTCAGTTCTCGGTTCCCCTCTTGAGCCCCTCTTGGGCCCGTCTTGGGGCCTCTTGGTCCGTCTTGGGCGGCACTTGGGCCGTCTTGGGGGCCCTCCTGGGCCGTTCCGGGGCCGTCTTGGGAGCCTCGTGGGCCGTCTTGGAGCGGTCTTGGGGGCCTCTTGGGCCGTCTTGGAGCGTCCGGAAGCCGAAAAAGCCAGAACGCAAAAAAACATAGAAAAAACAATGAAATCAACGATTTTGGCCTCTTGGGGCCCTCTTCGGAGGCCTCTTGGAAGGCCCTTGGGGCGTCTTGGAGGCCTCTTGGGCTGTCTTGGGGCCCTGTTGGGCGTCTTCGGGCGATCTTTGGCCGTCTCGGGGCCCTCTTGGACCGTCTTGGGGGCTTCTTGGGGACCTCTTGGCCCGTCCTGGGGCCCTGTAACAGGGCTCCGGCATCTCTGGCCCGACCTTGCCGGGACCTTGCCGGGGACTTGCCGGGAACTTGCCGGGGACTTGCCGGGACCTTGCCGGGGTACTTGTCGTCCGGGGACCCCCAGGGGCCGCCCCGCGCGCGCGAACTAGAAATACTATTAACCAAGTACCGGAGATCTTAGCACGCCCTGGCCCGCTGGGCCGGCGAATTTGCCTGATGAATAACTCCTCCTTGTCGCACCCCAGGGCCGGTCGAAAGGGCGGGCCGGACGTTTCGCCTGAGACTTGCTCACCACTCATGATTTGAATTCAAAAGCTGAGCTCTTTCACAAATGGAGGGCGGGCGGTTTTCAAAATGTGGCTCTCGCCCGAGATCCGCCCACATTCGTTTTCAAAATTTACAGGAACTTCACGGATTGAGGGTGGGCGGTTTTCAAAATTCTTGACATTCGCGTATCCCCACCAGCGTCCGTAGCCCTTGTGGCTCTAGGCCGTTCTGGTTCGAGACGAGCCGAGCCGGCCTCGTTTGCGCCCCCCGGGCGCGCTGCCTGGGGCAGGTCGGGATGGGGGCGCCCTCCTCCTGACCTGCCCCTCCCCTGCGCCATGGCGGCGCTCGCTGGCCTGGCGGCCGGCCGCGCGCCTGGCCGCGGCCCTGCCGCAGCCGCCGCGCCCTCGCAGGCGGCCCGCCGGCGTCGGCAGCGGCGTGCGGCCGCCGCCCGCTTCGCTGGCGCCGCCCCCGGCCTTCGGCCTCCGCCGGCTGGAGGCCCTGGCGCTGGCGGCGCCGCGGGCGCCGCCGCGGCTGCTGCGCGGCCGCCGCGGCCGCCGCGGCCGCCGCGGCCGCCGCGGCCGCCGCGCGGCCGCCTCTGACGCAGTTGCCGCCGCGGCTGCTGCTGCGGCTGGCGCCGCCGGCGCTGCCGCCTCCCGCGGCCGCTGGCGCCGCCGCCGCCGCGGCCGCCGCCGCGGCCGCGGGCGCGCGCGCCATCGCCGCGGCCGCCGACGCCGCTGCCGCTTGCGCGGCCGCGGCCCAGGCGGTCTCTGCGGCCGCCCTGGCCGCTGGCCCCGCTGCTGCCGCCGCCTGCGCTGGCGCCACGGGCGCCGCGGGCGCCGTTGGCGCCGCCTGCGCTGCCGGCGCCGCAGGCGCCGCGGGCGCCGCCGGGGGCGCCGCGGGCGCCGCCGGCGCCGCTGGTGCCGCAGGCGCCGGGGCGCCGGGCGCGACGCTGGCGCCGCCGCCGCCGGCGGGGCCGCGGGGCCGCGGGCGCCGCCGGCGCCGCGGGCGCCGTTGGGGCAGGCGCCGAGGGCTCGGTGGCCGGCGCCGCCGCCGCCGCCCCCGCCGCCGTGGCGGAGGCGGCCGCCGCTGCAGCCGTGGGCCGCGCGGCCGGCGCCGCGGCCGCCGCGGCCCGCGCGGCCGCGCTTGGGCCCGCCGCGGCTGGCGCCGCCGCAGCAGCAGCAGCAGCTGCTGCACGGGAGCAGCAGCTGCACCGGAGCAGCAGCAGCGGCAGCAGCGACAGCAGCAGCAGCAACAACCGCAGCAGCAGCACCTGCAGCCGCAGCAGCAGCAACAGCAATAGCAGCAGCAGCAGCAGCAGCAGCAACAGCAGCGGGACTGCAGCAGCAGCAGCAGCAGCAGCAGCAGCAGCAGCAGTTGAATCACTTCTCTCCGCCCTTGTCGTTGCCGATGCTGCTCATGTAATCTCATACCATGTGCAGTTGAAGTATAGCGTGCCACACTTACTATTTGAGATTGCCAGATGCGCTAGCGTTCTAGGACTCGTTGCCATTCTACTGTTATGTAGATGCGCTTTCCTCATGGCATGCGTGATCCAGTTTGCTCCCATATTGAGTTGTGTCGGTATCCTGATACATCTCGCGTTTCTCCTTTTGGCCCAAGCGGCGGAGCAGGAGGAGCTAACTGCCCCAGGACCTACCGAGACTATGGTCCTTGGCCGCTCCAAGGCGGCACCGCCCAGGAAAAGAGGCAGGGTGGGGACGGGGGGGGGGTCTAGCAGCGTGCGTGCTTCTCCTACTTCACCCCCAGTCATCCGATCTTCCTTATCCTACTGTCGTACCAGCAGCTCACCCCCCATAATCCCCCATTGGGGCGGGGGTGGATACGAATTCATTTTCCTTTCCCCGTCGACCACATACATAACACATGCTGCCTGGACCACCAATGGGGCCAGCGCAGCAAAGAGCACTACGCATACTCGGCAAGTTCAGTTCGGCAGATTGGAAGCGAGAGATACAAAGGCAGCAACCCAAACAGATACTGCGATTGTTGGCGAACCAGAGTCGCGCTGCCGCAATACAATATCATAACCCAACAGGCCACATTATCACGGCAAAGTACTGTGCCTGGGCCAGAGACGGGTTCCCAGAGAACGGCCACGACGAGAGACTTAAAAACATTAGGTGTGTATTGGGCCTATGGCTCATGCGAGGACACGCAAGCTTGGACATCTGGAATGTTTATCATGCTCTTGGCTGCATCCAGGGACTCTACTTTTGTGCCAGACATCATCATCCCAAGCACTACGTTAGAGGCTTCCTCGGAGCCTCCAAGCCACGCCTACAACATGACATCCTCGCCCATACTTTCAACACAGACTTGTGGAAGAGCTACATCAATAACTTACATGGCGCCATATGGTTTTCCCCCCCTCCATCCCGACTCCCACAATATGTTATATATTGCGTGGAGCACCGAGGGAGGAACGCGACACCTTGGCAAAGCAGCCATGGCGCGCAACACGAATAAAAAAATGGTTCGGTGGAGTTGCAGGCTTCAGAGAACATCACGATGCAACCTTCCGAGCAAAAGGCCACCAGACACACAGACCACGCTACAAAGCATGGAATAAGTGTGCACGGTGGCCGCTCGTTGCCATGCCCGTCACATTCAGCACGCATCAGAACATATATAAGTTCGAAGCCCTTGCCATTGATATCCCCAGACCTCCAACACAGATTTCGCCGAGCACACTCCGCGGACTTGGCGCATCTAGACTTAAGCTTTTCCTTCGATTTCTATCGAGAACAGCGGTTCCTATCGAGACGCGCGTTTCCCTCGATTTCGTAAGTTGCCCACGATGCAGAGAGAGCTTGAACTCGACTTGGTCACTGCCGCACGTCACATCCATGCCATACGTGAGCGTTTCGAAGCACAATGTGCATCATTCCCCCTCTTGGTCTCACGGCTGCATCAACGCCGTGGGTTGCGAGAGCGTGACGTGCGGAGACTCATGTATGGCAGAGGCCAAGAAGCTTGGCTTGCCCTGTACTTGGCAGACCCCGAATCGCGCATGGACTACGCACGAACATGGAAACATGCATATGTCACGGACTACGTCTTGCATGTTTGGTGCTGCGCAGGTTGTCTCCCATCCCAGATACGATTTCTATGTCGAAGTAAGCTTGAAAGATTCTTGCACACAGGGAACTTGTTGCCTAAGTATCGTAGTCAGTTCAGAGTGCCGCGTGACAGGCCAGGTTTCCTTGAAAAAGACACGTCGCAAAATACGGTACTATCTTAGGCACGTTTGCGGAGATAGCACGTTGTTGCTCAGATATCTCATGCGCAAAACTTACGTTGTAGGCACAAAGGTACCGTGCTACGCCGACACGTTTACACACCAGCACATGGCTGCCTGTATGCTCTCATACAGCACATACCTCGCGATATGTAAAGGCCCAGACCTCAGCCGTAGACTCACGAGAGATGCTATATGGCGCAAACATTACTGGACAATCCCCAAAGAGCCGACGGTGGACGGTATCTGGCGGGAGCTGGAGCCACAGCTCAGTTGTCATTTCCATACCCTGCAGTTTACCCAGCCTCGCCCCCCCCCCCTGTCCCTCTTCCGCTCTTTCTTCTTCTCTCGTCGCGCTTCCTCTGCCGTCTGCGCCGCGAGAAGGGAGGGGGAGACACCTACTGGGCAGGCGCAGGCCCAACTGGAGCACACGTTCCCCGAGGCCTGCTGGGTCAGCTTGGACAAGGACGCACGCAGACGCGATGGAATCCCTTGGTACTGCTACCTCTGGCAGCTCGGGCAGCGTTTTCTCACTGACAATGACCATTATAGTTTCCAGCCCAATCTTTCGCCTAAACAGTTATGTCGTGCCCAGGAGACGCGATGCCCAGATGTTCCCGGAAAATAGAGGAACCCGAATAAAGCAGAGGTGGAGGACCTTCCCCGAAGATACCTC